ATTATGACCTAAGGGCATTTTTTATATCCAAAATATTTTTGAAAAATATAGACATAATTGTATTTTTATATTATAAAAATATTCTCCTATATTGGAATATTGGATTTTTACCCCCTTTAATGGAAAGTATTAGTGGGATATATAATTAAAAAATAATTATAAGAATATTGGGTTTTTGGGATATTTTTGAAATTGTTTACTAAAATATCTAATATTCTGAACCTTCGTTCTTAAGAAACTTAAAATAATCTCTTACTAAACATCTCATATAAGAGTAATTTTGTTGCCAAAAATTTAAGAAATCTTGTGGAAATGTTAAGGACAAAATAATGGTGATAAATTTATTTAGTTTGAAGAAGATTTAGGATATATGCTAGTATAATCTTTTAAAATATAAATGTTTAATTTTATAGTAATATTACATTTTTTATTATTAAAAAGCATTGTGTCTTGCATTATTATCACTTAAAAATATTTCAATATTTATTATTTTTTTTTTAATATAAGATTTATATATCTTTTTAGTCCTTATTAAATTAACAAGTTTTAATTTTAATCTCTATAAAAAAATTTATTTATTTTTCATCTTTATAAAATTAAAACTATTTTTTTTAGTCCCTATTTTTATATGATCATGTTTTAACTACTTTTTAGTTATTAAAAAGTTAAATAACTATTTTAACTAATATCTACAATCATTATTGATATCATATCAATATTTAATATTTCTAAAAAAAATTATAAGTCTTTAAAATAAATGTTATTTATTCACCTTAAAATGACCATTAGGGACTAAAAATAGTTAATTTTGATTTTAGAAGGGTGAATGCTATTCTTACCAAAATGTAGCAAGATCTAAGTATATGAATCTCAAATCTTTTCTTATGATGAAGTTCTTGATATTTACCTTTCGTTTTGATCTCTTTTGATTTTGATCTTCTTCTCCGAGTTCTCTTTAAAAAAATTTGGGTTGGTACCTGCAGAGGACTCCAACCATTAAGTTAGTCAATGATTCATTAGAGTTCAAAATTAAAAAAATCAAAGTCAATCTATACTTATTTTTTATGTCTGTGGGATTGGTGGTTAGCCAGATACCTTATCTTTTTTTATAATATAAATACCAAAACAAATATTTTGCAGGGATCAAAATCAAAATTTAATCATTTTACAATAAATAAAAACAATATTATAAGTTTTAAAAAAATAAAAAAAAATTAAAACAACTAAAATTAAAATAATCAATTTAATAGAAATTTAAAATATATTTAATTCATTATATAACATAAACTTTTGTATTTGATGAACTTATTTGAAAAAAGTACAATTATCTCAGCTCGATCTCAATGTCGATATCATCTTATCATATATTTATATGCGAATGCGACACATTGAGATGGTACGAGAAATTGAGATTGAATGCCTTTTTCTGGTTGTAGAGTTGTGGTATTTTTTTTTTATCTTCATTGACACACACAAAAAAAAAATCAATTTATGACAAGTCGACAATAGCAAAGTTTACATATACGAAATTACGAATAACCGTCTGATTTTTTTAAATGATATTTATAAAAGTATTTTTTTTTCATGTCAAGAGTATTTTATCTATCATGTATACGAACTCATGAGTTAAAAAAAAAAGTTTTAAAAAATACATAATATATAATTTTTAAAATATTAAAATAATACTTTTATAATATATTTAATTTTATTTTCAGCCCTTAACCTAAACAAGGAATACATAAATGTATTATTGTAAGTTATAGACTGATATAATTATTTTAAGTCGTTTTATATTATTAAGTTAAGTTATTATTTTATATTAAAGAATTCTAGGATCTGAGAATTTTTTATGATAGTATTAGTAGCCTAGACAAAGGTCTAGTTTAACCTTAAAGAGAGTTAGTATTTAAGGTTTATCATTTAAGTTGAATTTCATAAGTTCAAATTTTCAAAAACCTAAAGAGAAAAAGTCTAGAGAGAAGTGTTTTGGTTTGTGAATCCCTTTCTCCTCTAAACCTTCTTTTGTAGGGTGATTTTTCTCCTTGAATCTCATTCTTGTCATGTGTTTGTTGATTTAGGTCAGTAGGAACCTCAAATCAAGCTTGTTCATTTACTTAGAGTTATTTCTTTTTTCTTTTTCTTTTTCTTTTTCTTTTTCTTCTTCTTCTTCTTCTTCCTTCTCCTCCTCTTCTTCTCAACCTAGAGATTTTTGAGGTTAGGGAAGTTATGAATGGTCTTTTGTTGAATTAAAATGAGTTACATATTGATTTAATCTTCATTTAAACACAATGTGTTGTTTGGGTTGGGATTGAATGGGTGAAATCAAGTTGGTTGTTTGCGAAGCACATATGGTGTGAGAATTGGATGATTCTAATTAATTGGTGTTGCATGTTGAAATTTGTGTTGCAAATGTGTTGCCCATGGTGAATATATGTGGAATATTGCATTGCATGTTGAGCTTGTTGAGTTTCATGTGAAGGAAGACGATTTTCGCAATCCGCGCAGAACTTGAATCGCGCCAAGTGTGCCTTCGTGGCACCAGACGTAGTTCCAACTAGAGGCCCAAGTCTCGATTCTAGTCAGGCGTAAGATTGGTGGCACTAAGCGTGAGGAGAGAAACTCGTCTTAGGTTGGATTGGTGTAGGATGTGGTTCAAATGACATCGGCATGAGAGTATTGGGAGGTCTTTAACTTGGTGACGTTGGACCCAAGGTTGAGTGGCGTCCAACATGGCCAAACCAGAGCTCTCTATTTGGATGATGCTAGACATCAGTATGGTGACGTCGAGCATGAGTCAGGTAGAGACTCCTTACCTTAAATGAGGCTGAACATGGGACTTTTTCACACCAGGCATGAGGTCCCAGGGGCCTCTACCTTATCCACGTCAAATGTAGGTTGTGTAGCACCGAACATGGGTGAGACAGAAAGTTTCCTACTTGAATGGTGTCGGGTGCTAACTTCTAAATGAAAATATGTTATTTGATTGATGAATTGCTAAATATAAGTATAGTAGATTACCCTGTAATATGTTTTAAGTTGTTTAATGTTGATATATATGTGATGGTAATAAAGGATGATGAATGGTTGAGAGTTGAAAGTAAATTGAGTTGCATGTTGTGTGTTGGTGGTGTGGCTGTGTTGGAAATGTTATATGCAAGATGTTGTAGTGTTGTTGAGAGGATGAATGTTAAGAATGCTTTAGGCATTTAGGCATGATGTTGTTGAGTTATGTTGACCAATCTAGGACTAGATGAGAAGTTGTTTTAAAAGTTGCATATCCCATTGTATGAATATTGTGTTGTGGTATTCTAAGAGCCTAATTTGTTGAAAAATATTTCTTAAGAAGTTGACTCTTGAAGAGGACAATTGAGTCTCCTCTATGACCTTAGTTAGTATTGTGGGTGGGTAAGGTCAAGACCCACGTGTATAAAGTGACCATAGTAGTAGGGGTCAGGTCGAGCTATAATGATTACAAGTGACCAACTAGGTAAAGTATGAAATCGAGAACTTGATTCCTAACTGAGTATCTGAATAGTGTAGTATTTGGAGGGTAGTCGATATAGGCTAATCTCATTGGAGACTTAGTTAAGTTAGCTAATATTGTGGTAAGCATATACCTAATTGTTCTATCTTGATAGTAATACTAAACTTCCTTGTTTAAGTGGCAATATCTGAGAAACTAAATTGTTGTGTTGTAGATTGATATTCAATTTTCTATTGATCTAGCAAGATCACCTTTTGTAATTGGTTTAATAGGGCCAAGTCACTTAAACTGCCCACTTTATGTAAAAAAGAGATCTTCTAGTTGAAATGTGTGACGATTCATATAATTATTGTGTTGTGCATATGATGTGTTGTTTTAATTTTCTGGGTCATATATTGTATTGATTTGTGATGAAATATGTTGATATGTTGAAAAATAAGTTGTTAATGTTGTATTGTTTAATAAGTTGACATTGTGTTGTAGCATACGTAATTGTTATATTGATAAATTTGAATGTGTTATAATTTTGATGCTAAAAAAATATGAGATGTGTTGTAAAATCCTATTGTTTATAATTTTTGTATTATATGTTGTTGTTTTGAATTTTAGTTTACCCTTACGTATTTTTATATATATAGTTGAACTATAATAATTATATTTGATATAAGAGTAAAGTAAAAATAGACTAATATATTGTGTAGTGGAGACTATCTAACAGATGGTAGAATAAAGTCTTTTTAGTACTACTAATAGTTATATTATAGTATAAAAATTATGATGTATCATTATAATAAGTACACATTTTCTATTTTTTATATTGATAAGAAGAATTATCACGACAACAATAAAAATTAAAACTATTTTTTTTTTGTATCTGCTCTAATTTCACATGTAGACCCTTCAATAGAAAATTGGTTTTAAAAATATGATGTTTCACTTTTTCCTTAAGATCCACGTTTATGCAAGATACAAATACGAAGTTTGTCTTACTTCACCAAAACCTTGTGCTCGTTGTTATCTTATTCTGGTAGACCCACGTGTCGTCCCATTCGGTGATTGGATCAAAACTTGACAAGCGAGAGAAAGAGAAGATAGATTGACGAAATCAAGGACAAATAAGTTTGGATTACTCGCGAGAGATTCGATTTGACTCGTCTGAGTAATTTATAGAATACTATCAGTTCAAAAATCATCACTATCTTTTGTTTGTTGAAATAAAATTCATCATCATTATCATCAAATTCAATGTTACAATAAATAAAAAGTAGAAAAATCTTCCTATTTAAAGAATACCAAAATTGAATGCGTTGGCCATAGAATCAAAGCAGAAAAAAACGCATACCATTCTCACAAGTACAAGAGAATTAAGAAGAAAAAAATATATATAGCCTGCATTAACCGCAGCCTGTTTTTGCAGATAAAAGTGGGATGTTGTTTCACATTGGTGTTTGTTTCCACAGTCAGCGATTTTATTTGACCAAAAAACATCTCTCACTCTCATACGCTCCCACCTTTCTTGACAAAGTCAAAACACGCTAACGTAAGTGGCATCCCATAACATAAAGTCATAAACCCTCTCAGCTCCGTTTACATGTTACGGTTTTTTCCTATAACTGAACTCATATAAATAGAACGCAACCCCTCCTGGTTCCAACAATTTGATTCGACACAATGGAGAAAGAGAAACATCATTCTAATCTGAAGAGCAGGATCTTGAAGATACTGCCAAAAGCGGCGGCGGTGACATTCCAGAACCCTCCCTTCAGCCCAGGAAGGGATCACAAATTCAAATCCAACGGCGGCAAGGGCTTCTTCTCAGGCCCGATGATCCCCGATGAAGCTAGAAGAAAGCCCAGGCACGGAGGCGTTGAAACCCAGGAGCCCACATCGCCCAAAATCTCCTGCATGGGCCAGATCAAGCACAAGAAGAAGCGCGTCACGAAAGGAAGCGCCAACACCGTGTTGATTCCCCCACGCGCCCGAGACTCCACTCCCACAGAGGAAAAGAAGCAGCCTTCGAAGCTTCAGAGGATGTTTTTCCACACGGGGAAGCCCAAACCTGCGGGAAGGAAAAAATCTGTTGCGGTCACGGACACGGCGCCGCCGCTGGGCCACATGCGGCGATTCGCGAGTGGGCGCGAGACTTTTTCCAATTTTGATTGGAAGGCTCAGATTGCGCCGGAGGAAAGGGACTGCTATTCGGACTACGATGATAGAGTGGAGAGCGATGCAGAGGATGAAATCTTGATCCCTTTCTCTGCTCCTATTATGGTTGGTGGTGGTGGTGGTGGTGGTTGTGCAGCGAGTGTGCCTAATGTGCAACCCCGGAAAGAGATTAATTTATGGAAAAGAAGAACCATGGCACCACCTAGGCCTCTTCAGTTGAACCCCGTGCTCACTGCCAAATGATTCTTTTCTCATTCAAATTCGTACGTTTCTTCATATAATTGCAGATAAGTTGTTGAAATTGCAAACAAATATCTTCACAACTCTGTTTTTGATTTTTTGTTTCTTTCCCATGTATAGAAAAAATATGGTAATCATAAATCATGGTTAATTTACCCATCACGATTGATTTGATCTATCCGAGTCGATTAGTATTTTTTTTATATTTTGTACCAAGAAAAAAAGAATTTATAATCATGTAGTTGTACGTAACAATTAAAATATGAACTGAAGAAATTGAATTTTGGCGTTTAGATTTAGATGGTTGAGATTGGAACGAGGTTACTTCAATGGAAGTGATTAATTTGTGAATGAGTTCGAGATGACGTGGATGGTAGAAATAAAATTAGTCCAATGCGCGTAAGCATTGGAAAGCAACGAGGATGTGGTTGGTGAGGAGAGTGCATTTTCTTGAAGATGTCCACCGACACTTTTAGATATAAGTTGGCGTGCTTAAAATTAATTAACAATTTTTTAATGGTGCTTATTCAAGTGAGTTTAAAGTACTTTTTATTATTAGGAAAATACAAATCAGTGTGTTAGTGTGTTGGTTAAGGAATAAAAATAAAATTAATGAAAAATGTATAGGTGTAACTTAATTTTAGTTTTTAATAAAGATTTTCTGCTTATTATCCATATATTTATTTTTGGCACCAATTAGCCAGACTCTTCTTATTGTTATCTTTCTAATTCTTATTATAAAATACAGTTTAATAACACTAAATAAGAAATACAAAGGAATGTAGCTTGGTGGATCTAAGTAGGATGTACGAGTACAGGAAATCTCTTAAAATTAAGTTATGAATAAAAAAATATTAAAGTAAAAAATATAACAGACGTGAAAATGACAATGGAACTGACATCCTCATGCAAGATTCTACATATGGGGAGTCCGTTTAGCAAACAGCTTCAAAAATATTGATATTATATAAAAAGAAAATAAGAAAAAAAAAACATTAAATTACTTTTTTCATAAAATAAAAATTTACGTGTAAGTTAATTTTTTTTTAAAATAATATATTAATTTTTTCTAAAAAGTTATTTTTAATGTATGAATAACTTAATTTTAGTTTATAAATAAACTTATTTTATTTGTAGTTTCTTTTCTTATAAGTGTTATTTTTTTAAAATTAAGTTTAGATCATATTGAATTAATTCATTCGCATTTAATTTTAATGGTGTAACTCTTGTGTAGTTTATGTTTTTATATTTTTTATTAGTACTTAATTTCATTTTATTATTAATATATTTTTTAAGCAATAGATTCATTTTTTTTATATCATAATCTAATATTTTAAGCATAAATTTAAGCATATCACCTTATCATAGTTGAAGTTAGTCCTAATGGTCAAATCTTTATCTATATCATAACTTTGATATATAAATATTTTATTATTTATATAAAGAAATTAAGTTATTGTGTCATTATAGTATAGTAATATCTTTAGAATAAATTATTTGTTCAAAGATACATCAAGTATGAATTGATTGTAAGATTCTTTAAATAAAAGAATATTATTCTTAAATCATTTATAATTAAGTATTATAATTAATTAGGAGGACAATAAAACATTGAGATTATTGTTGAGTTGACTGATAATTGCATCTCACAAGTCTTAGATATGAGATATCAAGTCAGACACATATATATAAATATTAGGAGTAATATTTACAGTAAATAACTCACTATAAGAAGGTTTTATAATAAAAGAGTTTGTGAGTTTATGAGGCTCAAATGAGTAATATTTTGACAAAACTTCTCTCTTGTCTTTCTTCTCTATATTCTTTGATAAATGAATTAATGAGACGCAAATTTCAAAAGAAACCTTATATATTTTCTCTTTCCAGGATCAAATTGAATTTTTATTTAGAGAAACCTTAAAAAATATCTAAAGACTCCGTAAGAGTTTTCATAACTCTCAAAGCTCCTCGACCACACCTCAAAACAATTCAACATATAATTATTAATAAAAAATATGATAATTAACAAAGATTAACAAAAATGTAAAGTGCTATACATCTTACTTTATATATATACATACATATAGTCTAAAGTTAAGAGAAAATCATTATGTTAAAAACCTTAGAATGGTGATAGGAAACTAATAGCTACTCTATCATTATTTTTACTTTATGTAACACTAAAGAACCAAAGAAAACTATAGAGAATATAAATATAAATTAAAATATTTTTTTCGTGCCTTCAAAGGGATACATTTGTATAATGAAATAGCTACAAAAATGATTTTTACAAGTATTATCATCTAACTTTAGGAAATTGAAACATAAAGCGTATAATATTCTAATATTATTCACTTGATTTTTCTTATTTTGAGCTTTGTAAAGCCCTTCTTATTATTCCTTTTCACTTTAGTTGGACCTTGTCCTCAAGGTTTCTAAAACACTTGTACAAGACATTTTATTGAATGTGATTGAAATCATAAGATGTAAGAAACAAAATAAGTATAGGGACGATAAAATTCACATGTAGTGAACTATGTCATATTCATTTCACCTAGACTCTATATTCAATTTTAATAGGATTGCTATTAATAACATCTTTCTGCCATAGAGATAATGGCACTTGATTTTCCTTGCTTTGAACATCAGCAGCAGAAATACTTCCAAGCTGATGAGATTAGGAAGAACCATGATACTATAAATCTTGGAGCCGGTTAATCCAATTGAACCTTCAATGAGCACCAACGAGAATTTGACCATCTTGCAGAAATATCCTCTACCCCCAACAATAGTAAAAAAAAAAAAAAAAAAACCTTATTTCAAAGGCTAAATACCTATTTTGGTCCTTTATAATCTTTTTTTGTTTCAATGTAGTCCTTCATTAATTTTTGGTCTCAATTTGGTCCTAAACTAATTAATTGGTTTCAATTTAGTCCCAAATAAATTAATTGGTTTCAATGTGGGACTTCCGTCTAAATTTCTTTAACGGAGTTAACTGTTGCATAGGTGGATGCCACGTGGATGCATAGGTGGATGCCACGTAGATGCCACGTGGATCCCAATTTTTTGAAAACACCTAGAATCAGAACGGCCAGTTCTGAAACCAAAACTGCCGTTCTGGTTGCACTTTTGGTGTGTTAATTTTGCAACTGAAACGGGTCATTCCAGATGCGAAAATTAACACACCACCAGTGCAGCAGAACGGGTCGTTTTGAAAACAGAACGGGTCGTTTTGAAAACAGAACGGCCCGTTCCAAAACTGAGAATAGCATGTTCTTTGTTTAATTGTGTTTTTGATCGCTCAAGTATTATAAATACCCTTTTGTGCACACTTGTGCCCTATGCATGCTATGCAATGATGCCTCTATGCTAATGTTTAAATGCAGATTGATTTTACTTTCAAGAAATTAATCTATGCGCATTGATCAATGACATGAATTGTTAGCCTTTAAGCTGTGTCGAATTTAGTGTTGCTTTTTTGAACCTGAGGTTTGTGTAGTTCAGCCCTCTCGCTCGTACCGGATATGATATATTAGCCCTTAGATTAGGTGTACCTAGACTCTGTTCTAGGACACCTCCATCTTCTCCTTGTGAGTGTTCACTGTGCATACTTCGTGTATCTCTCAAATTTATCTTAATGCCATATAGGTCAAGAGGAAAGAGAGGAAGAGGATATATATATATAGGAACTTGGCAATAGACTTAAAATGTTGCACATTGGGTTGTTTCGGTATTACATTTGATCAAGTTCACATTATCTCTTCACAACCCAAAAAATCAACATATGCTTTTTCTAGTAATGCCCATGGAATAGTTATCAATACTGTTCCAAAAGTCTCTTTGCCGAAATGAATTCAGAAACTTCTGGGGCTATAGTGAAATGAAGATTTAATATATTAGATACTAGTTGATCTTTTAAATTAACTTGTTATGTAAATTTTCTTCCTTTTCCCAAAATAAGAATAATGCCACCTGGATGGCCCTAAGATAATGATGCTACCCAATTATATAGGCTATATACAGTAGCATTTGAATAAAAATTTAATTTAGCTTTTCTTATTATATGTTTAATAAAAAAGCTATTTGCTTTTAATCTCTCTTTAATCATTATGATATTTATCAACAAAATATTTGTTTTTCTCTAATTAATTAATATTTTATAGATATTTATTTTTATAACATTAAAAGCTTATTTTGGCTCGTTAAAAAATATGGCGTACATTATTTGGTAGACTAAAAGGGAAAAAATAATATATTTTAATGATTATGATATTGTTGATTTATTTTATTTTTCATTCCTTAATTTTTCAATTTTTATTATTGTAAAGTGTAGCATCTCAGTCACACTAAAATGAGAGAGATTGTATTTGTGTGAGATTATATAATTGATAATGACTTAAAATAGATCTAATCAGTATTTTCTATATCAACAAGATGCATATACTTTTCACACTACAACAAATGAGCTAAATAATGGAGATTAATTTTACGTTTAGTGGAGGTTTTTATCCTCCACAAAATAAATCGCAAAGATTTTCAAAAACCTCTACAGTTACATTCATCATAAGCAATTATTGATGCTTTTTTAGAAATCTCTCGTATTGTGAGTATAAACTTCATCTTAGGCAAAATATACTAGTAGAAAATATACTAGTAGAAAATTTATCCAAAACAAGAACGGATAAACTTCATGCATCTTGCTCTTTACTCCCAAATAGCACTTCCTAAATATTTCCTATCATAAAATATACTAGTAGAAAATTCCATGTAACCTCACTACCTTATTTATGTATAACTCTATCAATCTTGCCAATGAACATCTAATATTAATAAGAGTAAGGTGGGCAAAATTGGTGAGTCTATCCGCTATAAACCAAAAGGAATCAAATTTCTTAAGCGTCTTAGGCAAACCTACAACCAAGTTCATCGACACACCATCTCACTTCCATGCTAGAACGTCTAAAGAATGTCCTAAAGACTTCTGGTGTTCTACCTTAAAATTTTGGCATACTAAACACGAGTACACAAATTTCTCTTCTTCTCTCTTCATCTTAGGCCACCAGAACATCTTTCTACTGTCCTGATACATCTTAGTAGCTCCTGAGAGAATACTAAGAGTACTCGTATGTCCTTCTTCTAAGATCATCTTCTTAAATTCAGGATTACTAAGCACCCAAATTTTAATTTCAAAACAACATCAACTCCTACTCGAAAAGGGTTATCTATACTCCTGCTAATATTCTCCACTTGGTTCACTAAGAAAGGATCTAACTCCTGGGCTTCTCTAATCTCATCCATCAATTTACCAGTCATTTCAACATACTCAATCTAATGTTCCTAGGGGTAAGTTCACACGTCAAGCTTAAGTCTATGAACTCCTTTATCATATCCAACCCTTAAATCATCCAAGATGATAGGTGAAAAGTCTTTCTACTCAAGGCATCTACTACTATATTATCTTTACTTCTATGACCTTCTCCAATAATCAAGTACCTAAGCGTAAGTTCACTAAGTACACATACCCGGTCTCTAAGTCTTACCACTCCATCTATATCCAAAGTAGATTTCGTTTTACTATCTTGTCCTATAGCCTCACATTTTGCCACCAAAATGAATCATTTAATTGTGCTTCTCCAATTTTCCTTCAATAATCCACTAATTACTCGAGTCA